GTCGTATGGGGGCATTTCGTGAGGTGCAAGGGCAGGGTGACCAGTCGCAACCCTAGACACCCACCCCTAACCATACTGAGGCCTTGAGAGGCAACTCGGTTGGCGGTTTCTCATAACGATCAAAGTGAGTAAAACCTCCTAAAGTTAATTAATGGGTTCAAAATTGTAACCAAAGAAAACGCGCATGTACTATGGTGCTGTTCCAATAATTATCTTGCATGCTTGTATTGGGATAATGTTCCAAATGAGACGTTTTTTTATGTGTACGCCAATTTATCGACACCATTACCGTTGTTCGTAATAAGCAATTCTCCTCGTCCCGACGTAGTCTTGTGGATATATTGCAATTGGTACTGCGGCCAGGATGAGGGTTACATGACCTGCGGCTTTCGAGGGTGGGAGGTTGGGGACTCCTAACGCGAATTGAGTGTATAAATGTCGGCCGTCGTGAATGACTATGAATTGTGGCCAATTACCTTAATCTGATTGGTTTTTCCCAAAGCCCGCCAATCTTTCGGGAACAGGTGGCCTCCCCGACATCTGGGGGCTATAATAAATGTGCTACCATTCTCTCTCTCTCTCTCGCTTAAAGTGGACATCGAGTAAAGGGGTGCAAATGGGTACACTTGGGATACCAGCCACAATTAACTCTTGTTTGACATATCCTGAGATATGTGCACAGGTGAAATAGCTTCAGGTTCTGAAACACATCCGTCACGACGAGACTGCTATACCTTGACGTGGTGTGATGGGTTGCGTGCCTCCATGTCCCTGCTATCTATCTATACGAGATGATTTCTCACCCTCATAGATCCAGTCATGCCTGAAAGGTCAAATCCATACAAAGCTCAGTTTCACAAGTTCAGCTGATTGGACACAGTCTGGCTTCTTTTGACTGCCCACTCTCGTGCGTTGTTTTGATGAGGTAGGTTGTGAGTGGAAAGAAGTAAAGGATGATCAAACTAAGACCTAACAGGATGATATGTAAACCCTGATCAGGACTATTGCTCATCTAGGTCGCGTTAGGCCTCTCAGTTAGTGAGCTCGTGATTAGTTGAATTGATGGTTACAGACACAGTGATATGACCAAGTATCGTCAACAGTGGCACTCTTGTATCTACTTAATGTTCTGGCAGCCTTATTCCTCGTGAATTCTCTGTTTTCTCACTGGTATTGATTGAGTTGAACATTCCAATCTTCCGTTCCATCCTTCATCCCTGACGGATAGTTGTAAAAGCTGAACGGAAGTTAAAACGCATTATGCCCGTGTTTAGGGACAAAGTTTATCAGCGTTCCATGTTTACGCAACCCTTAGTTCACATCTCGTTTCATCCAGATTACTCCTCTGATAACGGATGAACAGATGCAACCCGACTGACAGATCGACTGTTTTTGATAACTATCACCAGATCCACCAACACACATCTGTATCGTGTTAATCAGCCCTTCGTTGATTTTTCATTTCTGCGGACTACAGAACTTGGAATTCAAAGAATAGTGCATGTCTCCAGCTCACCTCGATTATTGCCAATAAGATGGTGGTGGCGCACTGGTTTGGTCGCTGTCCCCTGCGTGCTTTGAACCGTGTGGTCCGAGGTTCGAACCCAGCGACAGCCACCCAACTTTGGTGGTAGGCATCTTTTCTGTCGTCCGGTTCAATACCACACCTATCCTAGCGGGGCCTTATGTGGTTCGTCACTCCAAGTCCCGGGGCTTAGGTTGCCGGTTAAACTCACTGAACAGCAGGTCCTCGTGACCATAAGGTTCGCCTCGTCTGCCGTTCACCACACAGTGGTGTAATGAAAAAAAATTGATTCGTTTTGCCTGTCCTGAGTGCGCGTGTGTTTCTTTCGGTGAGGGTTCACACAAACAATTGTTGTATTGCCGCCTCCATTCACGGCGCATTATCCAACTAAGATGATGACCATGATGCCAGTGCATATACGCTCTGTTCGTATTGTTATGCATGCCTGCATGCATGCAGCACTAATCAGCCGTTTTACTGCACCATCACTCGTTCGTTTTAGATCCCTTACAATTGCTTTGCGGTCGTAAGTGGACTCCAAAGCGCACCAGCGCCATCTCGGGTGCGCATGTTTTCACCCCTCCCCTCGTTCCCTGTGTGTGCGTGTGTGTATGTATTTCTGTCTTGTCCTAGGCTAACCTGTCCCGGATACAATCAGTCGTCTAACTCCCCCTTCCCCAGTCCGGACGATGGTTTTCTAATCCCGTTCGTTAAGAGGGCGATGTGCGGTTTTGGCTTCAAGGGTTCGTAAGCCATTAACTACTCACATAATCGGTCTTTCTAATAGCAGACGTGATCTCAGTTTTCCCTCACGTTTTGGCAGCCGGGGTTTATTCTATCAGTTCTGTCAGTGTGCTCTTTCGACCTTCACACCACCGGAGGGTCTCGTTTAAGCCCAGTATCCGTCTCTAATGAGACAACCCAATTTTTCCCTGTCTCATCATGCAGTTTACCACAGTGATTCTTATCCAGGATTGTGAAAACTAACTGTACTCATTTTCTACCTCACCTGGAGTATGGCCTTATGGATGGATGGGGGAGTTGAGTAAACTCACAAATGCAATACGGTGCACAATTCATCCACGTGCACGGGTGCTTTTAAATCCATTGTGATATGATATGCAGACTTGTCGTGCAGAATCACGGTGTCACTCACTAAACTCGTAAGATTGTGGTCTTTCCTGGCTAACTGTTCGATTGGGTGGGTGTGTTCACTTTCTATCCAGTCAGGTTCGCCTAATCGATCGTGTGATGTGCACACCTGTCCTCTCTCGTGCTCTGTTCGGATCTTCTACCCCAACAACACAGCCCATTTCATAATCCCAACTCGAAGCGTGACAGCCTTCCAGGTGTTCCTTATAACTTCCTTTATTTCATTTTCACGTTAGTACTTTCTATCAGTCCAAAGTGGCGATTCTGAATAAGGCCATCAAAGTTAATCTATCAACAATAAAATAAGCATAGGAATAGACTCGGTTGAGTGGTTTCTTTCTATTGTGAAACAGTTTTTTTCCTGTGGAACTCTGCTTCTCGTCTCACATGCGATCTACTCAGACGGTGATTGCAGTACATCTTTGATTACGTAAAACGTCACCTGGTTTGACTCGAACAATCTGTGGACTCATGGCGCTCACATACAAATCATGAACAGATTTCAGCACTTCTTCATAGTTGCTTGTTCCACGATCTGTTTGGCACGCGATCCGAACCGATACCGATGTGATTTTCTACACTTAGACAGAGGGTTAGTGATGTGTGCGTAATTCCATTTTGGCGCATTGCTATCGCCTATTCCAGAGTTCTTGGCACATGCACCACAGGTGTCTGTGTGCTGGTTCATGCCACACACACCGGACATTAAAGTCTACCCTTGAGAGAGTTTGTCAAAGCAACAGTTAATTGTGGTAGTTTATCGTTTCTAGGCATGCCTGAAATGTTGCAATTCCGGCCCAATCATCCATCTTGATCCCAACTTCACCCATTTGTATGTCATCATCATCATTGTACAGCGTAATACAGCGAGGCGAACTTCACTGATCGCTGCCAAACTCATATTGCATACACGGCAAATGAGAATGTGCGAGGAGGATAGGGATTGGAAAAGAAAGTGAACCTCTATGGTCAACACACAGAGTACACTGTGCATACATACTATTTCAAGC